TTCTAAAAATTGAGGCTCATCCCTGTCTACATAATTTCCCTTCCTTTCAGAGGCAAAGCCTATTCTGATTTCTATTTCCAAAGAGGTGGTTGTATATTCTTGATCTTAATGTACATGGAAACATACTGTATACATTTCTTTTGAGGAGGGGGATAGATTAGGCTCCTTTTTATCAACATAATATTTTGGCATTTTATCCACATTTTTGTGGATAAAGTACTCAGAAGTACTCATTCTTCTGTATGACATTGTAATTCAGTTATACAAAGTACCTACTTTGTTTATTCTCCTGTCAAGAGACATTTAGATTTTTTCTTTCTGGCTGTTGTGGATCGTGTTGCTTGAACATTCTTGTACAAGTCTTTTTATAGACATGTTTGTATTTCTCTTGGAGTATAACTGCTGGGTCATACATGAGTATGTGCTTAAGTCCATGAGAAAATATCAAAGTTTTGAAACCATGTGCCACATTTTAGAGTCCCTCGAGCTGTGTAGAAAGTTCCAGTGACTCTGCATTCCTTGCAAGATTTTGATATTGTTAATCTTTTTTTTTTTAAGTAACCATTCTACTAGTAGAAAATGTAATCTCATTGTTGTTTTAACATGCAATTCCTGCTTGTCTATCTTGTATATCTTTTTATTTGTTTATTAGCCATTTGAATAATCACCTGATGAGATGGTATCATCATGGATTTAGTGGGATTCCAGGTACATGTGATGAGATACTGAGATATACTTAAAAAACTCTTTAAAATCAGTACAGATTAAGAACAGAGATGGTATTTAGGGTATATAATGTGAGTCATGACAGATACCATTCCCTTTTTTATTAATTAAAAACACCGAGCCCTATATCTTAGCTGTATTCATTATTATTTTTTTCTTTTTTTCTTTTTTTTTCCAGTACCGGGAATCAAACTCACGACCTTGCACTAGCCAGGCAGGTGCTGTGCCGCTGAGTTAAATCCCCAGCCCCTGTATTCATTATTAAATGGGCTTCTGACTGAAGGAGCATTAAAAAAATATCCTGTGGTGTAATTTTGTCTTCACAATCCCCATAGCAGTCGTGGTGAATGTATAGAGTGCGTGCTCAGCGGGCTGTTTGTTTCGTTGCAAGCTCTAAAAGGTTCACCATCACGTCCTATGGTCTCTTAATCTTGTGACTATCTTATAAGTGCATTTTTATATTAAAACTTTAGATAGTAAATCCACTTGTGTGAAGTCATGGAAATGGGTTAATTTTACTACGTGATGAATAGTTTACCATCTTTTTGATTTCCTGATCTTCCAGATTAGGTACATAAATTATATACACATATATGTGTACTCACACACAATATTCAAAAGAGAGAGGGGGGCAATTATTTTAATTTTTCCTAGGAGACTCCAGGTATTGTACTTGCTCATAGTACATTCTACTTTGAGATTTTGTTTTTGTTCACCTCTAATATGGCTTGCTTATGGTGGAGAATTTGTTCTCACAGAGGTATGAAGCATTCCTACTGCTAATCAACTTGACAGTAGGATTTATTCATTCAACAAAGTTTTGCCAAGGCCTGCTACGTTGGGCCCTATCCTAGGTGCTGAAGCTATGTGTGTGAACAAAGCAGACATGATACCTGACCTCAGAGAGCTTGCATTCTAGGGGCAGACTAGAATATTAAATAACAAAATAGTACTGTGGACCTAGTCAAGAAAATACAGCAGGAAAAAGGTTTTAATTTTCTTGTAGGAGAGGGCAGATTGCAATGTAAGATACAGTGGTCAAGATGGACCTTGCCTGAAGTTACCACGTGAGCTGTCTTAAAGAAGGTGAGGGAATTAGCTATGACAGTATCTGGGGTGAGCATGAGATGAGAGGAAAAACTGAGCTCCTAAGACTAGAGTAAGGCTAACGTGTCCAAGGAAGATCAAGGAGAGAACTGTGTTTGTGGTAAAAGGAAGGAAAAATGAGACTTACAGGAAGTAGCTGAATACTATGTAAAGTGCTGGAGGCCATCGGATTAAAACTTCATGTTTACACAGAGTAAACTAATTGAAGGATTTGGAGGCACTCATCACCTGACTCGACTCAGTTTACAAGCTAAGATTTAAAGGAGTCGTTCTACACTGTATAGAACAAGAGTCGAAACGGAGGCCACTGTCACTTGCGGTGATAGAGGTGCAAGATGCTGGCGGCTCAGACCACAGATGTAACAATGGGGGAGAACCAAGAGAGAGCCAGGAGATGGCCCACTATTGAGGAGGAGAAAAGAAACAAAACAAAAAGAAGGAATAGCAGAAGAAGTGGTGAAAGAAGGGAGAAAACCAAGGGCATATGGAATCTTGGAAATCAACAGGAAGAAAAAGGATAGAAGAGAAAAGAGTGATTAGTTGTGTCACACACTGCAGGTAGATGAGGGAAGGCAGAAAATGAGGACTCGTTGTTGGGTGTGGTGGCATGGTTGCCACTGGTGACCAACACAGGAGCAGGTCCAGGGAGGAACAGGGCTTAAGCGCTGGCAGAGGGGAGGTTATGAGAAAATAATCAGACAGTGAGCACAGATAACTCGATCAAGGAGAATCTTGCCGGTGGCTCGTAGGGAAGTGAGAATTAAGAAAGGCTTTGTTGTTTCCTTTACTGTTTTTAAGTGGGAGAAATAAGAGTATATCTGCATATATTAATGGAAATGGTCTAATGAAGTACTCTCAAACCCTTTCTAGGAAAGGGTAAGTTTTTTTTTCATAATCTTTGGTTATGTATAAGCTGATATGCTACTTTGGTACAAGATAAATATTATTAGCCAGGCATGGTGTCACATATGTAATCTGAGTACTTTGGAAGCTTGATGCAGGATTGCAAGTTGGAACCCAGCCTGGACAGGTTTAGCATCATCTGTCTCCAAATTAAAAAATAAAAAAAAATTGTCAGGAATGTAGTGCAAAGTGCAAAAAATAAAAATTAGTGACTAGGAAAAATTTCAAAATATTAGCCAAATTTTCTGTGGAAAACATTATAACCTTCCTCAAAGAATAAAAAGCAGAATCACCATAGAAACCAATAATTTCACTCTGGATGTATATTCCAAAGAATCAAAAGTACAGTCTTGAAGATATATTTGTACACTCGTGTTCATAGCAACATCATTCAAGTGAGGCAGAAGGAAGACACAGCCAAGTGTCCATCCGTGGAGGGGCGGATCAATGAAATGTGCTGTGTACATATGCTATAGTTTGAATGTGTGTTCTCCAAACTTTAGGATGAAATGTAATAGCCAAGGCAATGATGTCAAGAAGTAGGGTCTATTAGGGGTGATTAGGCCATGAGGGTTCTTCCCTTATGTACGCATTAAATGCCTTTAAAAAAGGGTTGTCAGGAGTGGACTTTTTTGATCTTTCTGCCTTCCACTGTGTGAGAATCCAATGTTCCTCCTCTTCAGAGAGTGCAGCTTGCACAGCGCCATATTGGAGGATAGTGGGGCTTTGACATTAGAACTCTACTCAGGCGAAATGAGTTTCTGTTCTTTATGAATTACGCACTCTTAAGTATTGTGTGATATAGAGCGTCACAAAATGGACTAAGAACATACAATAGAATACTACACACCCTTTAAAAGGAAGTTCTGAGATCTGCAACATGCATAAACTTTGGGACATTACGTTAAATGAAATAAGCCATGTACAAGAAGCCAAATGCTGTACAGTTCCAATTCTGTGAAGTATCTGTCATATTAAAATTCACAGGAGCAGAAAGTAGAATAGTGATTACAAGAAAGCAAAGAGAGGGGAAAATGGCACAGTGCTTTGTAAAATGAGAAAGTTCTGGACGGTGGTTGGCAGCAATGTAAATATACAAGCAGTGCTGAACTGCACACATGAAACCGGTGACAATTTGATGTGTATTTTACCACCATTAATTTGATGTGTATTTTACACATAAATTTGATGTGTATTTTACCACCATTAACAATACACGCAAACCAGTGTTCAAACTGTAAACATAAAATTACTGCATCGAATGGGAAGATGGGTCTTTTACAAACGAGAAGGACACCAAGAGATGGAGGAAAGCAAGACAGAGGGGAAGGAGGGGATGTAAAAAGAGTTAAGATGTCTTATGTACACGGACCAACTCTCCACGACGACTGTAATCATTATGTAACACAAGCATGGGCTAATGAAGATAACAATAAATTACTCTATCAAAATCCTATCAAAGGGCTGGATGTAGCGTACTGGTAGGGTGTTTGCCTAGCTTATGTGTGGGGACCGAGTTCTGTCCCCAGCAGTGCAAGAAAAACAGTTTTTAATGCTCGCTCTCCTTTTTCCTGCAGACTGGTAACTAGTTCATGCAGGATCAGTGCGTGGACCTGTTGGTTAGCTACGACTGAAACTGCGACTTAGGACATTGTAGGGTGATGTGTGAGAAGCGAGAAGGGATGGGATTAGGGGCACGGGTGGAGAGATTGACTTTGTCTGAGATTACAAAGTTACCGTTATGCTCATAGCAGCAACACTGAGTATTGGACTTAGGTTCTGTGGGATAAGTGGAAGGAGTGGTGAGAGACTATGAGTACATTTTTCTGTGAGTTTCCATTTTATTGATGAAAGTAAGAAGCAAGCTTATTATCTGGGACTTTGGTTGGGATAAGAGTAGAAAGGTATCTGAAAGAATGGGAGGGCAAAGATAATTGTACTACTAATTTCTATTGGTTTATTGAAGAGAATAGTTAATGCTTAATTTTTTTGATCAGTTTTGCATGCCTGTATCTGGTAATCGGAGCAATTGCTTTGAAGATAACAATATGCAATATAACAGCCATTGTTGATTTCCTATCATCTTGTTTTGAGATACTGTATTGTTTTTAATTTTCTTTATTCTGTTTAAAATAAACAAGTGGGAGAATCAAATATATCTTAGAATAAAAAATGAAGGAATGGAAATATACAGTATTAAACTAATAGGTATTTGCTTCTTTTTTAAAAATACCATTTTCCATTCTACTCTTTAGTTTTTCTCTTCTCCCTGATGAGACTAAATCTCAAAAGCACAGTTCTTATGGTTGCTCAGCAGATAGGAAATAATTCATAAATTGATATCTAATGTAATCCTATTTCTTAGTGAGTTGTTCTAAATAAAGATTATTTAGAATATCTAAAGATTATTGTACTGATCTTTGCAATGCTATTATAGTTATTTTGATGCTGTAACTGGATATCCACCAATCGTTCCTTGTTGTGTGCTTGTTATTTTTTACAGCACTGCCACCACGGGCTGTGTGTGAACAAAGAAATGGAGACACGTCTTGTGGATGGTGACTGGGGGCCGTGGGGACCTTACAGTGCTTGTTCAAGAACATGTGGCGGTGGAATCAAAAGCACAACCAGGCTCTGTAATCGTCCCGAGTATGTTTCTTTGTTTTATGTCACTGTAAATTACAATTATCTCAAGGCACCAGAAAATAAACATCTGTTTCATTCACTTCTAAAACTGGAGGTCAGTCTGTAAGTTTCGGAGATTCAGAAAACTTCTGGAATACTTTAAGCCATGTTATTGTTTTACAAGTTCGTACATTCCGACCTTAAAAGAAAATCTAAATAGATTGAATTTTATAATCTTAACTGAGAAACATTTTTACCATTTTTTTTTGTTTTCTGATTTAGTACAAAATGAAGAAACAGTTATAAATACGAATGGCGGTAATATAATGTCATTTCACATTTAGTTTCATGAAGGGTCCTGGCTCCTTACGCTTATGTTTCAGCTGGGCTGGGTGAAATATTTAATTTGGTTATTTAATGTATTTCCTTTTGTAATTTGATAAGTCGCATTTTCTTTCTGTGCTTCTCAAGTTTTAGATGTATCAGTGTCTTTAGCTGAATAAGTACTGCAGCATCTCTCGTTATCAAACTCTTTTTAAAAGAGTTTCTGAAAACTCTTTCATAAAGATTTTCAAATAAATGCTTCCATTGTACATATGAAATATAAATTGGTAAGCAATGTGACCCTTTCTTTAATGTCTTAATAACAAGCATTTTAGTCCAGAAAAGTGGTATACTCTGGATGAAACCTGGCAGTTCATTTGAATTTTAGAATAGCTGAATTATATGGAAGTATTTATATTCTAAAACTTTGGAAGCATTTTCCTAATGTAATTTGAAAAGAAATGAATATAGATTGGTACCATAAAACTGCTCGACCTGGGTGCTGAGTAGGACATACATGACAAAGAGCCATGTGTATTTCCTTTTACTACGATGTGTTTTCTTGTTCTCTTGTTACTGTCTTTGGTTCACTGCATGACTTATTTTTGTTTCCCCAGAAAAATGACCAAACCCCTTTTTGAAGTTTTAAAGCAAAGCACTATCATTAATTTCTTGTTAATTAATCTTAATTAGTTAATCTTGCCCTCCCCCACAAAAAAGATCCATTTCTGCCCTCCAGGCCTCGTGTGGAGAGTTTTACAGTTCACTAGCAAAGAACTGCTTAAAACTCAATACATATTTGTATTAAAATTAAAGAAGAACCTAGTCTTAGTGCACCATCACTGATTTGGCTGATCCCGGAAAGAATGGAACAGTTATGGAAGTAAATGGCAGAGGTCATGTACTGATGTGCTTTAAAATATAATAAATTTGACTAGGCCAAGAAACGGAGGAAAGTACTGTGTGGGCCGCAGAATGAAATTTCGGTCATGTAACACTGATTCATGTCCAAAAGGCAAGCAAGACTTCCGAGAGAAGCAGTGCTCTGAGTTTGACGGTAAACATTTCAACATCAATGGTCTTTCTCCTAATGTGAGATGGCTTCCAAAGTACAGCGGGAGTAAGTAATTTGAATATTTCCTTGATACAGACGTTTTTGAGACCTAGGAACGCAGAGCTTTATTAGCATACATGTAAAACTTGGCTTCATTCCTAGTTGCCGTAAAAGATCGCTGTAAACTGTATTGTCGGGTTGCTGGAACCGCTCATTTCTACCAGCTGAGGGACAGGGTTGCGGATGGTACTCCCTGCGGAACCGACACCAGTGACATCTGTGTCCAAGGCCTCTGTCGGGTAAGGGAACTCTAAGTTTCTGTTATATCTGCGGTGACTTTAAGGATAGTATTTTCCTTCTATTTTCCTAACCAAGTATTACTTCTCCTTCTTTCTATTTCTTTAGCCAAATATTGCTGCTCCTTCAGAATACTTACGTGTTGCAATAAAGGCAGCTTTGTTATCATACTCTACAGGAGTATGGTTAGATTTGTGACTAGCCGGTCTCCGTAACTTTGCTGAGGAAGATAAGTTTAAAATCACTGTGCTGATTCTATTTTACCGTAGTGTTCAGAATCAAGATGAAGATGCTTAGCGCTTCCTAGAAAGGTAGGAGGTGCCAGGCTTGAAAAGTGCTTTTGCTACTTCAAATGTGACCACTTTACTGACCCTGAATCCACTGAATCCTTTCTACCTCTCTCTAGCCCCCGTCTCTTACTTCTTACGAACATTCAGCAAACACTGAGTAGCTACTAGGTGTCAGAAATGGTTCGTATCACCAGGATAAACACATGGAGCAAAGTCCTTACCTCGCAGATCCGAGCGGGTGGTAGCCTGTGAACGGTTAGAATGAAGTGCCGCAAGGGGGTCTGGGAGGCAGCCCTGTGGCTGTCCAGGAAGGGGCATCTTACTTTATGGGGAGAGAAAATGATGGGTCTGAGAAATCTCCACAAAGATGTGAGCTCTGTGCTGAGGACTGAAGGTAAGGTTTTACACAGGTGAAGAAGTAAGGGAGTCGGGCTGGAGGTGGGGACCAGCGCATGGCTGTTCTAAGCACTTTTTGTCTGAACTCTTTGGTGATCCACAGAAGATTTCAGTGGAGGGAGAGACGTGATTTGCTTCGCACTTTAAAATGTGAGAATGGGCTGGGCTGGAACACTGTAGAGAGCTGGGCCATTTGGCAGGGTTGTTGGTAGGAGATAAAACCTGCGTTAAGCCTGGCAAGTGTAAGGTCCTGAGTTTGATTTCTGGTACAAACAAAACAAAACAAATCAAAACAAAACAACCTGCATTAATTAAAATATTTCAGATAGTGATGTTGAGAATGGATGTTGGGTTGGAGAGCTAGGACAATGAACGTTGTCGAAACAATCTGAAGGCATTCTTATGAACGCCTTCCTTTGGTTAAGAAGGAATTTAATTTCATCTCCCTATACACCGATATGTATCTGTTACCATTTACCTGGGTGAGAAGGCCTTGCACCCAAAGAGGTAATGAGGTGATCAAAGAGATTTAAAATAACTTATAAATATATTTTTAAAAATTTACTAAATGGCCTGGGAAATTTATGCTTTGTATAAACAAAAATATAAACTCAAATGAAAATAATAAAATATGATAAAGAGTGTCTAAACATCCTTCTTTCAGACAATACAATAAAAATGTTTATTTTGTGTCAGGCATGGTCGTTCATGCCTGTAATCCCAGCACTCGGGAGGCTGAGGCAGGAGGATCGCTGTGAGTTTGAGGCCAGCCTGGGTTACAAAGTGAGCTCAAGGCCAGCCTGAACTGCATAGCAAGACCCTGTCTCAAAAAGACAAAAAAAAAAAGATTGAAAAAATGTTTATTTTGGAAATATTTTCCACAAGGAGCTGGGCAGGGCATCATATGCTAGGAATTCCAACACTCGGGGAAGCTGAGGCTGTAGGAGGGCAAGTTTGAGCTCAGCCTGGGTATGACTTAGCAAGACCCTATCTCAAAAAATAGAGAAAAAGGGAGGGTTCACCAGGGGTTCAGCTCAGTGTGAAAACCTGGGATCAATTCCTAGTACCAAAAAAATCATGAGGCTTATGAAATTTTCTCTTCTGGTCACTTCACATAGAGGACTAGTCAAAGAAGTGAACTACTGCATCACACACGGAAGATTGCTTCTCTGAGGAGAGGAACCATACTTTTTTCTCTGAAATCCCAGTGGCAAATTATTTATTTTTATATGTATTTATTCATTCTTTTAATAAACATATAGTATGCTGAGCATTAGTTTTGGATAAATTGTTTCTTTTAAATATTTATTTGAAACTGGCTTTATTTCCAGTTGATTTTTTTAAAAAATAACTTATAAAAATATCCTTTTATAGTATAGTGAATGTGTTATCTACTTATCATGCTTTTGTCTCTTTAAATATTTCTTTACGAGTGGTTTACAAATGCTAATGGGTAGAAAAATAATGTGTCAGTGATACAATGTGGGTCCCTAGATTTTATCACCCAGGATATTAATTCAGAAAATCTGAGAATCTGTTTTTTTAAATACCCCTGGATGCGATTTTGGTGCAGGAGAAATGTGGGAAATCTTTTGAAACACTGTTTTTTTTAGATCATGTGAACAGGGTTTTGAAGATATCGATGTACAACAAGCTTAGCAAATATTCTGAAAAATTCTGTTTCAAATTTCCTATTAATTGAAAGAATATTTGGAAAGAGGACTTCGTAAATGTAAAGGCACCGTGTTTATCATGAATCGTTGTTATAGTGTTAATTGTAACAATCGCATTTTGAAGCAAGCTGGCTGTGATCACGTGTTAAACTCCAAGGCCCAGAGAGACAAATGCGGGGTGTGTGGTGGAGACAACTCCTCGTGCAGGACTATGGCCGGTGTCTTCAACAGTGCCCATTACGGTACAGTATGAATTTGTTTCTCGTTTTCCCTTTTACGTGCTATCATACTGGAGGGTGTAATGTAGGGTAGCAGTCATGGTTTGGTATTGTTTTGTGTACTCTACAACCTCAATCTGACATGACTGTGAGGAAAAATTTCCTAAATATAAAAATTAAATCTTATATCAGATGTTGCAGTTAAGCTGATGGTGAACTTAATGAGTTTGGGAGCCTGTAGGGCATTCATGAGGTACACTTCTGCATGTGTCTGTTGGCATTCCAGGGGCCCACTTTGGGGATTTTATCTGGTCCCTGGCCCCGTCTCTGGCACTGTTCCCCTGCTTTGCCTCCCAGCCACGATGAGGTGAGCAGCTTTGCTCCATCCTAAGCCGGTCTGCCGCAATGTTCCTGCTAGGAAGGAAGCCGTCTGACCGCAGACTGAAGCCCCTGATACGTGAGCCTAAGTAAACTTCTCCCTTCGGTTGTGAGTGCTGAATATTTTTATACCAGCAAGGGGAAAGCTGACCAATATACAGAGTACCTCTAAATTGGTAAATGTATTTGCTCAAGACAAATATAATTTTTAAAAATATATAAGGTGCATTTATAAGACTAAAAGAATAAACCCAGTGCGATATAGAGTCCACCAACTCGTGAAGTGCTTCTGGTGATGTTTTTGTCATCTAAAATGTTTATTCTTACGATTTTTTCCCCCAGGAAACTTGATTTGGTTTGAACTACTTCTCTTTTTGTGTGATTTGGTCTGTTATTTCTTATTAGTGTTATATTGAAAATGTTAATTGATTGTGAAGGATGAAGCCATTAATTTAAACATTGGCTCATCATCACATTTGCTTTCCCAAGAAGTATCTGGATCACAGTCGTAATTGTTATTTGGCCGTGATTTCAATTTTACTCAAAATTATTGTGAGAATATCTCAGATATATCCCATTCTAAAATTTTCTGAGCAAATATTTTTCTATTTAAAGATAATACATAAACATATAAAAGCAGATCTTTAAAAATTTCCTGCAAAGTAAAAATGCATTTTTACTTCTTATTTTTCAGAAGTAAATTATGCTCACGTGTCAACATATTATTATTTAGTAAAGGGGTAGAACTTAAACCTCAAAATTTATATTTTTACCTAAACAGAAAATATGCTACATGTAATACTCTAAGATGCTAGTGATACTTATGAATATTAATTCCTCTAGTTATTGTATCTTTTGATGTAGTCTGCTAGTTGTTATTATTTATTATGTCATGGGAGCCCCACACATTTAATCTTCTTGTATAATCAATGACACACATTTGTCATTGTCTGTATTTGATTAGAAGAATTTTTAAGAAAAAACCCCACATGTTTCAAATTAAGATTAAATGCTTAACCTTGAAATAGTATGTTGTGACTCAGTTTGTGAATGGAAAACGTCCTTTCGAGGATGTGAACACATTTATCACACTCCTGCCCCCTGCTGGTCGCTTTTATCTGGTCACTTTTAGGCTGCCTTATGCATACTTCCTGAAACAATGAAATAGCAAAGCCTTTAAGTAGTGGAACAGGATATTTTATAGTGAAAAAAGGGTGAATTGAAGTTATTCGTGGAGGTTTATAACCTATAAGCAATATACGTATACAGTTATCACACCCTGTATCACCTTATTTTTAAAATGCAGTGCCTTAACTAGACCTAAATAAGGTTGCTCTGAAAATATCCACGGTGATCTGACATCAAGATTATAAATGGAAGTTCTCTTAAATGTATAGTTTTTAATTTTATTCCATATTTGTCAAATTTAGTGCATGAAAAAATTATAACTTCCTTTGCTCATTATTAAATATGGAGAAATCCTAATAAAAAAGTACAAAGGAAAACCTAGAACAATATCATTAGAGGAAAGTTAGTTGTATACCTAACCTAAGAATATTTGCACACTGTGTAATGAGGATTTTATCGAGAAAATATTTTTTCCTGTTTAATGTGGATTTAATAAAGTATTTCCTTTTTGAAGTAGTGCTATATTTGCTGAATTAGGTCTCATAACAGATATGATCATTTCACTTAAGTAAGTTTTTTATTTTTCAGTAAGTTATTTAGTTTTCAGTAAATTACTTTCTTAATAAAATTTTAGTAGAACATAATACTGGGAGTAGATGTAGGGGTTGCAGTTTGTTATACTGCAAGCATATGGAAGAACTTGGCTTTTAAAAAATTATCAAATTGGCTTTGATAATTTAAAAAATTTTGATAATTTAAAAAATTATCAAATTGTTATACTGCAAGCATATGGAAGAACTTGGCTTTTAAAAAATTATTTTTCCATAATGAAATTTCCACTCACCAAGTCTCTGTGAATATCACATCACATTCCCTAGTTGTACTAGGATCTCTTGAATTGGTGGGGAGTATTTGAAATTCTTTGTCCAGTAGAATGTGTAAAATATAAAAGTATTAATCAAAGTCAAAAATGAATACATGTGCTAAGTATATGAATAGCTAAAAGCCCATCTTCATTCTAAACTACGTGAAAAATTTTAGAAGTAAGAAAAAATTAGGAAAAGTTGTATTTTAAGAATCTCACACTCTATGTTTCCTAACGTCAACCTCAGTCCTCCATAGTTCATTTTTTCCTCAGTCCTCCATAGTTCGTTGAGACATTGAGTCAAAAGGAATGACCACTGTAACATATTCGAAGGAAAAGTGAAAGGAGGAGTGACTATGCCATACATATTTTTCAGTCGTTCATCAGTAGTATCCTCTGGGACATCTGCTTTTTGTGAAATTGAACACATGTACAATTGTATTGCAGGTTACAACGTCGTTGTAAAGATTCCCACAGGAGCAACCAACATTGAAATTCTTCAGCACAGCTATTCTGGAAAACCAGAAGATGACAATTACCTTGGTAAACGCTTTTCATAAACAGCAGCCAGTATGTGGTTTGTGTGCAGTTTCGTGGAGGTCTGTGGTCAGTGTAAATTCTTGGAAGATAACGTGAGTCCCTGGGCAGGCAGTTTCTGTTCCTACAGCTTAGGTCGTACTGTGTGTTCTTAAACTATACAAAATGTGTCCTCCAAAAGAAAGGATATGGAATTCTGAAATTCTGAGAACATGATCAGTGTTTTTCTTTAAGAGTATTTTAGATAACCAAAAGTTATGTTTAGTTAAAGTTGCATGTGTATTTAGAATAAAATTCTCTTTTTATTTAATGCTAATTACAGAATTCTTTTGGGTTAGGTGGTTTGAATAGTGATCTACTTTCATGTTAACAAAAGTATTAAAACACAATTTTGAAAAAGCTCTCATCTTAGAGTAAGAAAAAGAAATACGGTTTCATATTTATCGATGTAAAAGAATGTAGTCAGAGTATTTTGTACGTTAGCTATTCCAGAGGCGAGGCTTAATTTATGAGAAATTAGCTTTCAGGCTTGAAGAGTTTTACTATGAAAAGGATATTTTACCAAACTTCCCTTTCTATCTGAGAAGTATCTTAAAGATGACTTTACCTGTGTGTGATTCACCAAACTGGTGTAGGTGGTGAGGTAGAGCTGATATTGAGAAATTACATTTCACATTAATAAGATATAAAAGTGACATATTGGCCCGGATAATAGATACTTCTTGTTAATCCGGTTATAACCCTCTTACCTCAGGAATTGTCTTTGGCCCTATAAAGTCAAATGAAAGAGGAACAGCTGCTCAATAGGTACTGACTGGGTTTCTCTTGGGGGTGGTAAAGAAGGAAATGTATTAAGGTAATGATTGTACAAACACTGAATATACTACTGACATTGAGTTGTTTACTTACAAATGGTTAATTCTGACCTGGGCATGATGCTACCTGCTTGTAATCTCAACAGCCTGAAAGCCACAGTCTCAGAGGTCCAGCCCAGCCTGGGTAACTTAGTGAGCCCCTCTCTCAAAAAAGGACTGAGGAGGTGGCTCCGTGCAAAGGCTTTGTGTTCAAATCTACAGTACCACCCCAGAACATTAATTTTATGTTTTGACAGTTTGCCTCAATAAGTACAAAGGAAAATTCCCAAAGAAAATCTAATATAGATGCCTGGATTTCTTACCTTTCTATTTAGTTGAAATTCTTTTTCAACTATACTTTTGCAATGGAAATACTATGTGCATAAATTTAGATATATTTTACCAGATTATCACTAGACAATTCAGTGAATCTTTTTTAAGTTCCAAACATAAACATATATATCTTGCTGAGATTCTGCCCGAGTTTAAAAGTTAGAAATGTTCATGAATAAAGTATTATATTTTATAAGAAGCTACAACTGTAAGAGAACTATCAAAGTCTAATCTGAAGTGAGCAAAATAAACATAAGACATTACTAGAAGGCATTTGAAGAACGTTTATGTGTATGAACTTTCATAACTGAAATCTGTAGGTTTTTTTTGTTATTTGTTAAAGACTTATTTGCCTTAGGATGAATGTAACCAGGGGTCCCGTATGTAGGCCCAGCTGGGTTTGATAAAGGAAGGAGATGAAGAAATGAAGGAAGAGAAGAGGGAGGAGAGAAGAGTTTGATAAAGGAAAGGAATTAAGATGTCCTGTGCTAGGTACATGTAACATTTCCCACCAGGAATGTAAACATGTACTGCAAACATGTACTAAGAAAAAAATTTTTAAAAAGTATACATTCTTGGATAGGGGAGTTTCCACTTCATGGGATAAATATAGAATTTCATTTGTTCCCTATTGAATTCAGCGTAATAGGTAAAGGCAGTTAAATTAGTTCATATATACATAGAAACATCTGCTTTACTTTGCAGTTATCCCCTTGGGATTGCTTTTTCAGAGGAGTATCATATTTCTTATGAAGTTTAGCTGTGAGTAACTTGTATGTTCTGGGGTGCAGTTTCTTGGAATGCCAAATGAATGTTTCCTGAAAAGGTTATTGTTTCATTGAGAAGCATAACACAAGCAAAACAAGCAGAAAATACTTTGCTAATGTAGAAGTTTTATTATTATAGAATTTAAATATTATACAGTCTCTAAAAAATTTATACTACAGTGCTTTACGATTTATGCACTTTGACCAACATCTTCTAAGTTTGAGTCTGATGGAAAGCTTTTAGAGGTAGAAATTTTGATTAGCTCTATTATGCATTTTAGGAAACTGACCAAAAGGTTTGTCTAAGTTCAAATAGCAATTAATTGAACAGCTTGAACTTAAAGACATTACTTTTAGCACCAAATGAGTTTGTATTTTTAATACTGTGGAGACCATAAAATTTTATATTTAAAAAAAT